AAAAAAAAAAAAAAAAAAAAAAAAAAAAAAACACGACAACCAGCTGTCAATGACTTCTCATTATGAGGTTTGTTGACATAATTAAAGCACCCTTTAATGCCCCTTTTCCTACAGACCCCCAAAAGGAATCTTCCCCCCCCCCAATGAGACCTCACAGGACCATTGAAAGATCTCCATAGGTGCCACAGAACCCCTACAATGTATAGTGCCCCCAAAGAACCAACATGCTTCCTGAAGACTGTGTTTGGGGAACCTAAAAATATCCCCATGAGACTCCTATAGGGCCGCTATTGCCCCCTCTATAGCTTAAAAACCAAGATAACCCTACAGACAACCCTGCCAGAGCCCCTATAGGACCCTCAAAGGGCCTCCCAACCCCCTTCAGAACCCCAAATGGGACTTTCACATACATCCCAAAGTGAGTCACAGTAGGACCCCCTAAGGGACCTCCCAAGGATCCACAATGCACCTTGCTTCTTCAAATTCCATATAATTCAACTAGGCTGTCTGCAGATCTCAGTCAGACCATTTCTGGTTTGAATAAAAACAAATCTGAATTCACCCTACGAAGAGAAAAAATACTGAAAAACATTTTGATTAGAAGCACCAGTAAAATATACTAACTATACAAAATATTTTATGTATAACAATAATATAGCTGGTTGAAATATGTTACCCTAAAGTTACACCTGAAGTCTAATGAATTAAACAAATACTGGAATGGCAAGAAAAAATAATGTAAACAAAGAAATAATAAAATTTGGAATAAGATCTAAAGAACTCAATGCTTATCTACCCAAAACAAACCCCTTTTCTTTTTCCACTACCAAATAGTTTTTCACTTTAACCCAAGGAAAAAAAAAAGATTCTGGTCAATTATCATAAATTTAGCTCACAGTTTCAATTATTTATACAATGGTACTGCTTGCTAGAGAGAGGACAACATACTCCTGTCAACTCATAAATACACAGAAAAATAAACATCAAATAAATAAACAAATAGTGGTTATATTCTTGCTGTTTTCACTTTGCATAAAAAGTAATTTACCTGTCTTTGAGATATAATTACAGGTGTTCTATTGTAAAATATTTTTAGGTCATGGCCTTTTTGCAAAAATGGGCAAGAAAACCAATAAGGATTATTACAAAGAATGAAAAAAAAAAAAAAAAAAAAAAAACACTGGTCCCCTTTTAAAGCTTGACAGAATATGAACTAACTGAAACAAACAATTTTCACAGCCCTTTTATGGAAAAAATTAAAAGCACCTAAATGTCTGCTTACAATCTGTAAAGAAAACCTTTTTGGTGATTAAATAGTCACCTTTGGTTTGGACTGTGGTGTGATCCATTCCTAATTTTAGACAAATCCCATGAGTGTCAAGCACATCCAACACATTCAGGTCATTTACTCATGCACCATGATTTAAGAGAGAGACTACAAAAACATTTACAATGTAAGACAAAACTTATGGAAAAACCCTAGAGTCAACATTTTTGGATTTTTCCCTTTTTCCACCTGAAAGTTGAAAGCAGAGAGAGATAGAAAATGAGAGAGATTGGGTGTGTGTGATGCAGTCAATCTAAGAACATGTATGGATTTTTACAGCCTGTCATTTTTACACTGGCCTCACACAAAATGCCAGTAAAGATCTATAATGAGCACACCTCTTTCATTTCCCACACCACATTATCTATACTTCTGAATGTTCATAACATGAATGCTAGTAACTCGGTTCCATCTGCTCTACCCTGCAGTGTCACAATCAACTGTCACAACTAACACAATCAGGACAGTAACAACTACTGAAATGCTGATTTGTTTCATACCACAGCAGGTTTTGAAACATCTTCTCTAACATTACTGGAAGTAAGTAACATCCAAACTTCAAACAATGTTCCAACTTGTTTTGGTGGTTGGGACTGTAAAGTACTGCAACCTTGTTCTTGCTAGCTTGCTTCAGAACCATAATTCTTGAAATACTGTTGGAAGCATGTCCCATCCAGTACATCTAAGCAGTGTCTCAACCAACACAATTGGGGAATGTCACACCTACTGCATTCTTGAGACTGGAATGTCTTTGATGATCCACTCGGCGTTAGGATTCACTTTGTACAGTGCCAGCATGTTGGCATTGTTGTCCAAACGGCGTTCACCTGGTAATGGAATAAAATTGGTGAAAAAACAGTTCATTGGGTGATCCCTGTCGAATCACATACATTTCTTTCTTTCTCTGTAGTTTAGAAGTGTGTGAATCTTTTCTCTCTCTGTGCGTGCATGCATGCATGTATGTGTGTGTGTCAACATTTTTACTGTCTATTCCTACTTTCTATAATAATAGTGATTAGTTTAACAAAGATATTAAGATTCAAAACCATGTATATTTTCTTGTCTAATTTTCATCCTACCAATATTTCCTCCACATTCATAAAGATATGAGTTGTCCATGGCAAATGTGACATTCATGGGGTTGGCACATCCTCTGGGTGGGGCATACACAGCACCTTTAGAACTCCTGGGGGAGAGAAATGTGTTTGTTGAGCCGCACATAACACAATCAAGACAATCACAACTATCAGAATCAAGACAATCTCACCCAACACAATTACGTAAGACAGTTTTGATTATGTTACATTGGCATGGGATGCACCCACCAGACAATTTTGTTCAAAAATCTACGACATTGGCATTGTCAATTTGTTAATAACGCTACTATAACAACAATGTTAATGCATAAAGACAATTAATGAGGAAAACAATGTTAAACACCAGACTTAAGGCATACATTACTTGACAAGGTATATGGCTAGTAGATCGATTTAAAGACACCACATCAATTTTATCTTTCATTTTGAATAGCAATAATTTGAACAACGAACAGATATGATGTTAAAACTGTCTGTACCATCCAGCTGTCATATGGCCAGCCATTAACCTCAAACAACTGCCATGATTTCCAAAGACGGTTTAAAAAAGTTCGGGTTGTATCTGCTTGGGTGGGAATCTCAGTGAATCAATATTCAAATCACATGATAAACATTTTGGACTCCCTGTACCCCAAATCCTGGGAAAACTCCTTGGTCTGAAACAGCCATTTAGTTTTTTCTATCCAAACCAAAGATTGAGAGACAGAGGAAGTACTACATACAGCTAATTTAACCCACCTCTGGGGAGTGACATCATAACTTGTTTTCCTCTTAAACTTGGCAACAATTTCTCCTGCTGTCATGTTTTCATCTAACTGGACTGCTGTGCTGTTCTTAGTCAAGCCAGGTGCCTGCACTCTTATGATGCCTTCTTTGAATTCAGCCTGGAAGAAAAAAGAGAAGAAAGGAACAAAGAGAAAAAAGGAATGGAGGTTTTCATGTAGGACCATAGGCAATTAAGGGCACGATAGTCTTGGTCTAATAGTATATTAATTTTTTTTTATTTAATCTCTAAGTTTCTTGTGGTTATAGAACACTGACTACACCAGGTCTGCATGGATTTCTACTTTTGGTACAATAATATTTTTTATTTCAATTTTTTTTAAGAATGGGTGTTCTTACCTCACTGGAAATCTTCTTGTATACCTCAGATTTGTCCTTCTTTCCTCCAAATAACTGCATAATCTGAGAAAGATAAAGGCAGAACTAAGTTTATGAATTATCACAAAAGTATTGAAGGTGAAACAAAGCCTAAGTCAAAAATATGGGCCATTATAAAGTATGCACCTAATCAGGTGTAAACATTATACTTTTAATCAGTGAAATTGTAAAATGTGAGAGTTCATCCTCTTTACAATTTCTATCATCATCATCATCATTTTCTTTATCATCAGTATTCTTCTCATTATTACAATCAATATGACTACTTTTTAAACATCATTTCCAAAAATTTGACTTTAACATTCATCACTGGTTATTATTACTATCCAACATCTTTGCTCATTGTCATTAATATTATTATCATTATAATTATAATATCTTTTTTTTAAATCACAAAGTGTCTAAACTCACAGATTTGTCTTTGGTTTTCTTCTGTTGCTCCATCTCATACTGGTGTCTAACCTGCATCAGCATCACAGAGGGTACTGTCCACAAGATGTGGTGGTACCGGATCAACATTTTCACTATATTAGACATGCTGGCTGCTCTCTGGGTCTCCAGCTCCTTGAGATCTTTGTGTTTGTAGTGGGACTGAAATTAAAGGAAAATAAAGATTACTGATATTTTACCAATATAATGGGACTATAAAACAAAAATGGCATTTTTCCACCACAGGGAATCCAGTTCATTGAAATCTCTCTGTCTGTCATGCAACTTACATAATAAAGGCAAATTATATTTTCCCTCTACCGTGACTACAGCACTGTGGGATTTAATGTTATTATTAGACTTAATTGAAAACAAAAACAACTGACATTTTCATATAGGTGGACATGTTGCCATGTGCTTCTTCTGACCTTGTAACAAGCTCAGCATGAGCCATGCCCAGAAAAGAGCAAAATTCCAAATGACTAAAAGGAGAGTTTAAATACCCATATTACCTTGCTTTCAGAACTATACCCTGATTGCTCAGGCAGAAACAGTACCACGTACATTCTTTATAAATATGTACAGCATTAACTTAAAAGGAATCTGACATACCTGGACAAGAAACAAGTTGGGTGCCATGATCATGGCCACATTGGCAAGGGACATTTTGTTTTGTTGTTTGTGATCTATGACATGGTGGAGAAACTGCAGCAGAAGCTGTCAATAGAACAAAATACACTCAAATACTGACAACAACAAGAATAACAATACTCATAACAATAATACATTAGGGAAATAATATGGAAAACTGGTGACACAACTGTTATGGCAAATAAAAGATACTGTAATAAACCTGGTGACAAAGCTGTTAATCAAATAATAGATAGTGAAATAAACAAAGAGTTGTTATCATAAATTTCACACACAGACACCCAATTTTCCCTTACAATCCTACCTTAAGTGTGCTTCTGTTGACATCTGGTAGCAGCAGGATCAGCAGGTTGAGAGCCTGGAGCTGTTGTTTCTTGTCTGAAATAGCTGCAGGATAGAAAAAATTTAAAAATAAAGTCACACTCAAGAAAAAAATGATAAAAATAAGACACCGCATTGAGAAATAAGTGTCAAAATGCTGCAAATGCATGGTTAACATCTGACTAGTAGATTTGGCCTACAACTGGCAAATATTTGACTCAACAGGTTGTGAGTTTGAAGCTGTTGCTTTTTGTCTGAAATTGCTGCAGGGGAGAGATAAACAACATTGAGTGCCACTTTAAAAGACAATATTGAAAATTAAGTTGTAAAATGATGGGAAGATATGCTAATCATAGTCAATATCTCTCCTACAGACATATGACTTACAAATTTGACCTATGACTGGCAAATATTTCACTCCACAGGTTGAAAGCTTGAAGCTACCATTTCTTGTAAGAAATTGCTGCAGCAATGAAAAACATATCTGATTCATACTGGACTGGGCCAATTTATAAAGGACTTTCTATGGGACCCTATAGGAAATTTCCATTAGGGACTGTAATACATTATTGTACACTTCACTTATCAAAGGTAAAAATTATATCTAGTAACATAACTAAGGCCCCATGCAGAATAGGGGATTAACTTGTCCGAGGGTCAAATATGGCAACCCACTACAAAGCTTGCCATCTTATCCGCTAATAGGCACTGAATAGATATCCAATGGGGAAATATTCAAGTGGGTCGGCCATATTTGACCCTCGGACTAGTTAGTCCCCTATTCTGAATGAGGCCTCAGACAGACCTTGAACCTGAGCAAAAGCATCTGTACACTGATTGGTCAACAGAGGCTCTGGAAGCTCACGCAGGAATTGTTTTAATAGTGCAGCAGCATCGTTAGGACGGACGTCATTCCAGCTAAACTCTCCACTGGGAAATGTGTCTTCAATTTGCTGTCGGAGGTTCTGTATAAAATGGGGCTCAATAATATAAATATACCAAGTTACAATTATCCACCTGTGTATTGCAGTGAATGAGATAAAGTATGAATTTATCCACAAACAATTTTCAACACTTTTTTACTGCATGGCAACATGTCTTCTTTTTAACTGCATGGTATCTGTCTTTTTCAAGAGTAAAGATTCTCTGTAAAAGAGTGAGCTAAACTCAATGGAGCAACTGAAATCTATCTCTTTAAAGAATATCACTGAATATTTAAGACTAATCTTGAAATGCAATGGCTTACTCTGATTCTAGCGGCAGATCCCGGGACCCTGAGTATCCCCTCCATTTCTAGTGCATTTTTTTCCAGGAAAGAAATAATCTGGAAATACACAGGTAAGTGCCGGCTTAAAGGCAGACCTGCAGGCAGGAAAGGGGGGGGGGGGGAGGACAAGTAGATTAAGGGTGCATTCCCAGAGATTTAGATCAACCTAACTCACTGGGGGTTCACGCTACATTGCAGTCAGCCGAGCGCGCACCATAGTTAATTACCCCCTTACAGCTTTTAGTAGGCGGGACAGACGCTTAAGCCGGCTAAGCTGACAGTAATCTAGTCAGACTCCCCACAGGGATAGATCGATCTAAAATCTATGGGAATGGGGTCTAAGTGCCCTTGTGGCCAGGAAAAGGTTCCGTTCTGTATATTTGCACTTGGTCCCTTTCCAGTAACACTGCATTAGCTTTCATGGTTAGAAGCAGAACTTTCTTAGAAAAAGACTCCCCCCCCTTTGAAACTGCTGATCAGAGGCTGGAAAGTTGTGTATAGTTTATATAATGCAGAACAAATAGAAATGGACCAGGATGTTTTTTTTATTCAAATAAGCAATAACCAGTTGGAACTAAATGATATACTGTAATCCATGAAGTACACAATCTGACGCTATTCTTTTAATGAAAATTACTGAATAAAAAGTTTGTATCAAGAATGTATCACATCACACACAGACCAAAAGAAAAAAATAAAAATAAAGGCTGCAGCTCATCTTGTACCTGTTTGAATATAAGTGGGACTCCCACGTGCTGCCCTCTATGTTCATGCTGCAAGGTGTGAAGTGGAACACCAAATAAACCTTGTTCTGGAAAGAATAATTTCAAAAATTTATTCAGATCCTACCAACATCTTTGAAATATTGTTCAACTTACTCTGTGGGTAAAGATATACTTTTTTCAGTAAAGAACCACCCTTTTGAATTAATGGCTACACTGCAGGCCTGAAATACTTGCATATATTTTCAAAAAGGCCAAATCTGGGCCGACTATTGTTTGCCCAGTCATATTTCTCCTAATTGTAATAGAAAACAAATAAAACTCACCTTTAATTTTAACTTTACTTTTAATTGGTGTAAATAAAATGTTATAGATGTCAAACAAAGCTGTCAACTCTATGTAGGCAAGAGCGCGTATCTTCTCTTTATCTTCAGGACCAACGTCGTCAATCTTTGTGACCCCCAATTCATCCTGGACCAAGACATAGTTCTACAAATAAAATTATTTAAAAAAACTGTCAATGTGGAACTGTTACCTGTGTATTGGGTATAACAATGTACCAACTGCAAAAATACCCTTATTAAAATCACTGTCATATCTCTTTTTATACAAAACAATGTTTTACTTGATAACTTTTACCTCTTTCTTTTGGTGTCTCTACTTAATAATGCAATAGCCAAGCTATCAAGTTGCCTACTTATCAAAACATCCTGGAACATCTGTTACAGTATCGCTTCAGTACACAAGCACAAAAAGCCTCAATATGTTCTCAAATCTTACTGTAGGTGTTAAAGTGTTAATAATAAATGTGTAGCATTTATTGCTTCACTGTGAAATATTCATGCCAGTGGCATTCAACTTACTGGCATTCCTTCACTTTCTTCTGTCATGCTGTCATTACTGAAGTTCTGCAAATAAAACGGAGTACTTAAATGAGGAATAACATAATACATATATAAAATAAAGATAATCTTTCTGACTATAAAATAGTGTTGGCAGAAAGTGGGCTTGAGAGCATAAAATGTGTTTGACAGTAACAATGTGTCAAGTATAAATGTGGTAGGCGTGAAAGTGTGTTAGGTATGAATGTGTTAGGTGTGACAGAGTGTTGGATGTGACAGAGTGTTGGATGTGACAGTGTGTTGAATGTGACAGTGTTATTTAAGGGGTTGTACTAGGGAATGTATTTTGTGAATTGTGAAAGTGTTTGATACAAAAATACTGAAGCTGTGACAGTACAAAAGCTGTAGAAATATCAATTAACTCACCAGAGAAGAATCTGACGTCACATCTGATGAGTCATCAGTCTTAAAGTTCAATTTCACCTCTGAGTCGGAGACGGTTCTTGACAATCTCTCTCCCGTTTCCTCCTCTGGCTCTTCTTCCTGCTGTGTTATAATATGCATTGGACTGGCACGAGATTGGATACTGAGCGTCTCAATACCTGGATGGTCTAGAGTTAGACAATAATGATCCTCAGTTGACAGCCAAAGTTAGAGTGGAATTAATGAGTTATTAAATAATGGTCAGTATGGTGCTCTATAAAATAATTTCCCATTGTCATCATTATTATTATTATTGTTATTATAATTTTTCTAGTTGCTGTTGTAATCATTCTTATTTTTATCAATACTACTTTTTTCATCATTACTATTATCATCATCATTACTGCCATTATCATATTAACAATAATTATCTTCATCATCATTACTGCACTACCATTAACATGTTTACAATAATTATCATCTTCATCATTTCTATTATCACCATCATCATCATAATTATTATCATAATGATTATGATTATGATTATTGATAATTATATTAACCTTGTGTCAAGGCTCCGCCCTCTGCCTCCTCTACCTCTCCCGTCATGGAGTACTGATGTCCTCGTTTTAAGGAACGTTTTTTGACATGCATCCGTTTGGAGTGCCTTTGAGTGCCATCTTGATCAGAAGGTTGTTGACCCTTTGATGGAAATTTTCGTCACTGTTAACTTTTTAAATCAAATTCTAGCAGAGTTAAAAGAAAATAAAATTAAAATTTTATCTTACTAACAGATTAAATTGTGTTAANATTATATCCAGTAACATAACTAAGGCCCCATGCAGAATAGGGGACTAACTTGTCCGAGGGTCAAATATGGCAACCCACTACAAAGCTTGCCATCTTATCTGCTAATAGGCACTGAATAGATATCCCATGGGGAAATATTCAAGAGGGTGGGCCATATTTGACCCTCAGACTAGTTAGTCCCCTATTCTGAATGGAGCCTCAGACAGACCTTGAACCTGAGCGAAAGCATCTGTACACTGATTGGTTAGCAGAGGCTCTGGAAGCTCACGCAGGAATTGTTTTAATAGTGCAGCAGCATCGTTAGGACGGACGTCATTCCAGCTAAACTCTCCACTGGGAAATGTGTCTTCAATTTGCTGTCGGAGGTTCTGAATAAAATAGGGCTCAATAATATAAATATACCAAGTTACAATTATCACATCTGTGCATTGCAGTGAATGAGATAAAGTATGAATTTATCCACAAACATTTTTAACACTTTTTTACTGCATGGTAACATGTCTACTTTTTAACTGCATGGTATCTGTCTTTTTCAAGAGTAAAGATTCTCTGTAAAAGAGTGAACTAAGCTCAATGGAGCAACTGAAATCTATCTTATTAAAGAATATCACTAAATATTCAAGACTAATCTTGAAATGCAATGGCTTACTCTGATTCTAGCGGCAGATCCTGGGACCCTGAGTATCCCCTCCATTTCTAGTGCATTTTTTTCCAGGAAAGAAATAATCTGGAAATACACAGGTAAGTGCCGGCTTAAAGGCAGACCTGTAGGCAGAAGAGGGGGGGGAGGACAAGTAGATTAAGGGTGCATTCCCAGAGATTTAGATCAACCTAACTCCCTGGGGGTTCACACTAAATTGCACTCAGCCGAGCGCGCACCATAGTTAAATAGCCCCTTACAGCTTTTAGAAGGCGGGACAGACGCTTAAGCCGGCTAAGCTGACAGTAATCTAGTGAGACTCCCCACAGGGATAGATCGATCTAAAATCTATGGGAATGGGGTCTAAGTGCCCTTGTGGCCAGGAAAAGGTTCCGCTCTGTATATTTGCACTTGGTCCCTTTCCAGTAACACTGCATTAGCTTTCATGGTTAGAAGCAGAACTTTCTTAGAAAAAGACCCCCTCCCCCTTTGAAACTGCTGATCACAGGCTGGAAAGTTGTAGACAGTTTATATAAAGCAGAACACATACAAATGGGTCAGGAAGTTTTTGATTCAAATAAGTGTTAACCAGTTGGAACTGAATGATATACTGTAAGCCATGAAGTACAGAATTTGATGCTATTCTTTTAATGATAATTACTGAATAAATTTTTTGTTTCAACAATGTATCACATCACACACAGACAAAAAAAAAAAAAATAATAATAAATAAATAAATAAATAATAAATAAAGGCTGCAGCTCATCTTGTACCTGTTTGAATATAAGTGGAACTCCCACGTGCTGCCCTCTATCTTCATGCTGCAAGGTGTGAAGTGGAACACCGAATAAACCTTGTTCTGGAAAGAATAATTTTGAAAATTTATTCAAATCCTGCCAACATCTTTGAAATATTGTTCAACTTACTCTAGTCAATTCTGTATTATTTCTTGCTTCAATTTGGTATGATTATATTTATTCAATCCTGAAAGTATTTTTTTACTGCAATTACTGACAAACATTCATAATATACAAGAACATATACAGGGATGGGTGAAGGGGGGGGGGGGTGAGTTCAAACCACCCTTCTGTCTAGAAAACACCATCTCTGAATTAAAATTTGATCTAAGTGCTGCATTTCTTTTTCAAGTTGGTTCAAAGAAGTGGGTAAAAGGTACACTTATTTTTAGAAAAAGAACCACCCTTTTGAATTAATGGCTACACTGCAGGCCTGAAATGCTTGTATTTATTTTCAAATAGGCAAAATCTGGCTCAACCATTTATCTCCTAAAATTGTAATAAACAAACAAATAAAACCCACCTTTAATTTTAACTTTACTTTTAATTGGTGTAAATAAAATGTTATAGATGTCAAACAAAGCTGTCAACTCTATGTAGGCAAGAGCGCGTATCTTCTCTTTATCTTCAGGACCAACGTCGTCAATCTTTGTGACCCCGAGTTCATCTTGGACCAAGACATAGTTCTACAAATAAAATTATAAAAAAACTGTCCATGTGGAACTGTTACCTGTGTATTGGGTATAACAATGTACCAAATGCAAACATACCCTTATTAATATCACTGTCATATCTCTTTTTATACAAAACAATGTTTTACTTGATAACTTTTACCTCTTTCTTTTGGTGTCTCTATTTAATAATGCAATAGCCAAGCTATCAAGTTGCCCACTTATCAAAACATCCTGGAACATCTGTTACAGTATCGCTTCAGTACACAAGCACAAAAAGCCTCAATATGTTCTCAAATCTTAGGCGTTAAAGTGTTAATAGTAAATGTGTAGCATTTATTGCTTCACTATGAAATATTCATGCCAGTGGCATTCAACTTACTGGCATTCCTTCACTTTCTTCTGTCACGCTGTCATTACTGAAGTTCTGCAAACGAAACAGAATACTTAGTACATAAGTATCAAACTAATATGTAATATTACATAAAATAAACAAAGATAATCCTTCTGACCATAAAATAACGTTGGCAGAAATTGGGCTTGAGAGCATAAATTGTGTTTGACAGTAGCAATGTGTCAAGTATAAATGTGGTAGGTGTGAAAGTGTGTTAGGTATGAATGTGTTAGGTGTGACAGAGTGTTGGATGTGACAGTGTTTTAGAAGTGACAGTGTGTTGGATGTGACATGGATGTGACATGTGACATGGATGGGGTTGTACTGGGCAATGCATTGTGTCAATTGTCAAATTGTTTGATGCGAAAATACTAAAATTGAGACAGTACAAAAGCTATAGAAATATCAATGAACTCACCAGAGAAGAATCTGACGTCACATCTGATGAGTCGTCAGTCTTAAAGTTCAATTTCACCTCAGAGTCGGAGACGGTTCTTGACAATCTCTCTCCAGTTTCCTCCTCTGGCTCTTCTTCCTGCTGTGTTATAATATGCATTGGACTGGCACGAGATTGGATACTGAGCGTCTCAATACCTGGATGGTCTAGAGTTAGACAATAATGATCCTCAGTTGATAGCCAAAGTTAGAGTGGAATTAATGAGTTATTAAATAATGGTCAGTATGGTGCTCTATAAAATAATTTCCCATTGTCATCATTATTATTATTATTGTTATTATAATTTTTCTAGTTGCTGTTGTAATCATTCTTATTTTTATCAATACTACTTTTTTCATCATTACTATTATCATTATCATTACTGCCATTATCATATTTACAATAATTATCTTCATCATCATTACTACCATTAACATATTTACAATAATTATCATCTTCATCATTTCTATTATCACCATCATCATCAAAATTATTATCATACTGATTATGATTATGATTATTGATAATTATATTAACCTTGTGTTAAGGCTCCGCCCTCCGCCTCCTCCACCTCTCCTGTCATGGAGTACTGATGTCCTCGTTTTAAGGAACGCTTTTTGACATGCGTCCGTTTGGAGTGCCTTTGAGTGCCATCTTGATCAGAAGGTTGTTGACCCTTTGATGGAAATTTTCGTCACTATTAACTTTTTAAATCAAATTGAATATTCTAGCAGAGTTTAAAGAAAATAAAATTAAAATATTACATTACTACCAGATTGAATTGTGTTAAACTTGTTTACTAGTATCTCTAGTTTTGAAAGGGGNGAGTTCAAACCACCCTTCTGTCTAGAAAACACCATCTCTGAATTAAAATTTGATCTAAGTGCTGCATTTCTTTTTCAAGTTGGTTCAAAGAAGTGGGTAAAAGGTACACTTATTTTTAGAAAAAGAACCACCCTTTTGAATTAATGGCTACACTGCAGGCCTGAAATGCTTGTATTTATTTTCAAATAGGCAAAATCTGGCTCAACCATTTATCTCCTAAAATTGTAATAAACAAACAAATAAAACCCACCTTTAATTTTAACTTTACTTTTAATTGGTGTAAATAAAATGTTATAGATGTCAAACAAAGCTGTCAACTCTATGTAGGCAAGAGCGCGTATCTTCTCTTTATCTTCAGGACCAACGTCGTCAATCTTTGTGACCCCGAGTTCATCTTGGACCAAGACATAGTTCTACAAATAAAATTATAAAAAAACTGTCCATGTGGAACTGTTACCTGTGTATTGGGTATAACAATGTACCAAATGCAAACATACCCTTATTAATATCACTGTCATATCTCTTTTTATACAAAACAATGTTTTACTTGATAACTTTTACCTCTTTCTTTTGGTGTCTCTATTTAATAATGCAATAGCCAAGCTATCAAGTTGCCCACTTATCAAAACATCCTGGAACATCTGTTACAGTATCGCTTCAGTACACAAGCACAAAAAGCCTCAATATGTTCTCAAATCTTAGGCGTTAAAGTGTTAATAGTAAATGTGTAGCATTTATTGCTTCACTATGAAATATTCATGCCAGTGGCATTCAACTTACTGGCATTCCTTCACTTTCTTCTGTCACGCTGTCATTACTGAAGTTCTGCAAACGAAACAGAATACTTAGTACATAAGTATCAAACTAATATGTAATATTACATAAAATAAACAAAGATAATCCTTCTGACCATAAAATAACGTTGGCAGAAATTGGGCTTGAGAGCATAAATTGTGTTTGACAGTAGCAATGTGTCAAGTATAAATGTGGTAGGTGTGAAAGTGTGTTAGGTATGAATGTGTTAGGTGTGACAGAGTGTTGGATGTGACAGTGTTTTAGAAGTGACAGTGTGTTGGATGTGACATGGATGTGACATGTGACATGGATGGGGTTGTACTGGGCAATGCATTGTGTCAATTGTCAAATTGTTTGATGCGAAAATACTAAAATTGAGACAGTACAAAAGCTATAGAAATATCAATGAACTCACCAGAGAAGAATCTGACGTCACATCTGATGAGTCGTCAGTCTTAAAGTTCAATTTCACCTCAGAGTCGGAGACGGTTCTTGACAATCTCTCTCCAGTTTCCTCCTCTGGCTCTTCTTCCTGCTGTGTTATAATATGCATTGGACTGGCACGAGATTGGATACTGAGCGTCTCAATACCTGGATGGTCTAGAGTTAGACAATAATGATCCTCAGTTGATAGCCAAAGTTAGAGTGGAATTAATGAGTTATTAAATAATGGTCAGTATGGTGCTCTATAAAATAATTTCCCATTGTCATCATTATTATTATTATTGTTATTATAATTTTTCTAGTTGCTGTTGTAATCATTCTTATTTTTATCAATACTACTTTTTTCATCATTACTATTATCATTATCATTACTGCCATTATCATATTTACAATAATTATCTTCATCATCATTACTACCATTAACATATTTACAATAATTATCATCTTCATCATTTCTATTATCACCATCATCATCAAAATTATTATCATACTGATTATGATTATGATTATTGATAATTATATTAACCTTGTGTTAAGGCTCCGCCCTCCGCCTCCTCCACCTCTCCTGTCATGGAGTACTGATGTCCTCGTTTTAAGGAACGCTTTTTGACATGCGTCCGTTTGGAGTGCCTTTGAGTGCCATCTTGATCAGAAGGTTGTTGACCCTTTGATGGAAATTTTCGTCACTATTAACTTTTTAAATCAAATTGAATATTCTAGCAGAGTTTAAAGAAAATAAAATTAAAATATTACATTACTACCAGATTGAATTGTGTTAAACTTGTTTACTAGTATCTCTAGTTTTGAAAGGGGGAACAAGAAAACAAGATATTACACAATCCAATCTTTGCAATATTTCCACTAAGGCCTTACATCATTGATTATCTAAGGCGCTGTCATTTAAAACAAAAAATATCAGCACCTTATTTAAACCACTAGCAACAACCACAGTACCTTTTCTACAAACAGTTCTCTCATGTCAGCATAATTGAATTGTCGTTTCTTCAGCGTTGCATTCAACGTGTCAACGCGTTTTTTGACGGCTGCTGCTTGCGACCGTGTCAGGGACTGGGTGGCCTGCAGTAACACGTGATCCTCGAGTTCGTTTCCTTCTTCGTACTTTGTGGCGAGACCCTTGAAACCTGCCTCCCGCAGCCAGGCCAGCTCCTGCTCCCCCTCTGAAACACAAGACAGAATTTTAAAGTATAATATGGTAAATCCCAACAAATTTCAATTTATCTAAAGAAAGTTCAATACAGTATGCATATTTTCCCCTTTTTTCCTTAATTTACTACTGAGTTTTATAAAAATTTTGATTTGGATGAAATAATTTATCAATTCAGGTACAGGAATTTTTATTCTTTCTAAGACCAGACAACAAAAACTCTCACCATCTGGGGTTTTAGAAGCGTCTTCATCTGTCAACTCATCCTGTGCTTTACTCTGTTCTATATCACGAAACTCATTCCAGTAGTCATCGAACTCACGGGATGAGCGCACGGCTGTCATGGTGACTGTTGGAAACAGATCTCCAGTAAAGAAGAGTGCATGCTGAGATGTACGCACTCCTAGTGCATAGAAGACTTAATACTGTGGCAAGGGATTTCAGTTTCTGTATGAAGCTTTCAGTCATCCAAACACACCTGGAATGAGAAATATCGCTAAAATTATTGAAAATATATATCAATAAAAACAGTTAACTGATACATTTAACCAAATCATGACATTTTTTTTTAATTTAAAAAGCATTTAGAACAGTGAGCAATCCCTGTGAGTTTGAAGCAAAATGGTTACATTGATGCCAAGTCATTGCCAGGGTGAAAATACTTCTTTGCTGTGTTCAAATTATTGTTTTTCTTTTTATCAAGAGCTTGTAAAATATTGATAAAAAGAAAAACAATAATTTGAATTGATACATACAGAGCTTATGAAACTGTTCTCTCATTCTTGGCTATGGCTTCTGCTTTGGTGAATGGCTTCTGCACAGGTGAAGCCAATATACAGTGACACAGTAGTCTTCAGACTAAAGCCCTGTCAATACACCTATGTCAGTGCTGACACAGTATAATTCCTGATATCATTTTCAAGTAAATTTTCTAAGAATGCATTTACTAGTAGCATTACAAGTACACTGTATATATACACAAAGCACACAAACTGAATCCCTACCTAATACTTTCTATCAAAAATTCAAAAAAATACCAGCTGTTCTTTGGAAAAATTCTCCTGTTAGTAAATTTCATGGATCTCACATTATTAAATCAACCCCTATTTTGGCTGAGAAGTTTGGCATGTCAGGAGAACTGAATGTAAGTGGAAAATATTGATCTAAAAACAGTTTGTGATGCCTCGGAGAACACATTAAGTGCTCCAAATGCTCCGAATAAAAACAGGGGACAATGGTGAGTAATTTTTTGATGAACACACTTTAATCTGACAAAAAGTTAATTTTTTACCTGATTATATTTTTAATAATACATGCTATGTTTTTGCTTTTTTTACGTTTCAAGTCTTCAAAGAAAAAACTCACTTTTCTAAAGTGATTTCTGGCATGACATTTTCTTTGTAAATGAAATATAATAATTGTGATGACTGCTGTATTATTATACATAAAACAGAAACGACCTGGCAGTACATTTTTTCATAGTTTATCGAAAATGTAATTTATGTAACTACCCAAGAATTGCCTAATAAAAATTGTATGGCTTGTCTTATAATGATACATACAATACTAAATTACAAATTAATAGCTAACAAAAAAGTTATATAAACTAATAGAATAGGGATGCCAAAAAGGTTATTAGTACCAGAAAACCTCACACTACAATTCCTTGGCCTAATGAAATAACATTAGGCAGCACATCAATGTTCCAGCCCCATCACAACTTATTATATCCTCACATTAAGTAGATCCCTCACATTAACTGCACATCATCTTGTGATGGGGCACTCCATGCACGCCAACTTAATCACACCCTGGGGACTGGGGGGGGAGGAGAGAGAGAGAGAGAGAAAGTAGGAAAAGTGGTAAGTGTTTGAATAATTCTCTTTCTATTGGTATTATTCATAAATATATGATTGAGATTGCAACCAGAATCATCTTTTTTTTTTTTTTTTTTTTTTTTGTGATGATGAAGTTATGTTTAAATCTTGGAGCAACTAGCAAAAAAATTACATACATATATGAATATACAATTAAAAGTTGTGAGCTTGTAGGTACAGTTTTCATAGGTATTCAAGAAACATGGGTTGTGCCCTTGGCATTTAATTGCATCATCATTCTTTCTATGTCAGTGTTAAAGATGGGAGGGTCTCAAATAACTTCACATCCTTCACCTCAAGACATTTTGTTAAAAAATATGAACAGAAAATCTTTGAAGGCATGCCATTCCTGTTAAAATTTTATTATAATTATAAATAATTTTAACTAAGAAGAAGAAGAAGAAGAAGAAGAAGAAGAGAGAGAGAGAGAGAGAGAGAGAGAGAGAGACAGTCAGAGAGAGAGAGAGAGAGAGAGAAACTGACTCAAAAATAAGCGAGAACACACCACGGCAAGCAATCTAGAGCAAATACATTCCATATAAAATTCATCCACACAACATTACAGTCATATATCTCCACACTGGTGACCAAGCACTGAATATATGGTCAGTACAATTACCTTTATATGTATATACACAAAGGGTGTGTTCATGTACTCGTCCCCTCTTTACAAATTACATCACCATCCATCTTCATGCTCTTATACACACCGAGTCAAGTGCATAGATGTCATATATTCCCCACCCTGAATTTCAGAGGTCACAGCAAATCCAACTGTATCATTAGCATGGCTCTGCGGCTCTCAGCTATCTTTGAAACTCAGGGTAATTAATGACTGTATGGCCTATAACTTAATGTTCCCTGATACCAAGGGTGTAAACATGAGGTCATGTAGCTTTGTGATGCAAAATAAATAAATAAATAAATAAATAAATAAATAAATAAATAAATAAATAAATAAATACTGCTTGTAAATGTGATAAAATGCATACTAAAAGTAGTAATGACCTTCTACACTATACATTACTACTGTAACCCTGTCAATTTTTTCATAAAAATAGAGTAAAAATCCTGTTACTAGTACACACCTCAATATTATTTCTCTGAGAACAAAGTTAGTAGACAGTTTGTTAATTAATAAATCAATGAAACCTGCCCATCAATCTTGGCTGATGAGTCATGATAAAGAGAAACCAAGCTTTAGCAAACTAATGGTGACTGGCGTCTATATCAAAAGATGAGGTCAATGCATTGTGGAGGCTTGAGTGGGAGGGGGAGGGGCAAAAAATGCTATGAAGAAAAAATTCTTACTGATATAAACCACAAATTACATATAAACATGAATATAGAAGCTGCAAACTGACAAAGATATGGTCATGTAGAGCAGGGAATTATATCGATATAATTCCCTCCCTAGAGAGAGTAAAAAAAAATAAAAAGTAAAATCCCTAGTACACATGGAAAGAGCTACGTACAAAGAAAACAATGTACCTCATGAAACTGTCCCATTTTTCCTGAAGGATAGATGTGATAAATGTGATAAAACTGGTCATTTCTCTAGATCGCGTTAGTCACATTGAGGGTGGAAAATGTGATAAATCATTGCACAGACAAACAGTGAGACAGGACCGTACTAGTACTCATATATTCATCATTCTATGAAAAAAAGCTGTCCAGTTTTAAAACCACATAGACTATACATATACATGTATAATCTTAAAAGAAACACTTAAGGTTTTTATGAGCATTGAATCTTCACATAGAAAATAATGTTTTTTTTGTGGAAATTTCAGCAATTTTCCTTTCATTCTCGATTAAGGTCTTTAGGTATGCATCTTTCTCAAAAACTGTTGAGAAAATTACAAGCTCTAATATACTAGTACATGAGTTCTTAACATTTCTTTTTTTAGGAGGTTATGTTTTAGTAAATATAATGATTGAAATTTACCAGCCTCCAATTTAATAATAACAGCAACAGGATAGTCATAGTGTACACAAGAAACAAATTGTTTAGCATTAACCTCAGATAACCTACCGGTATCAGGAGTGAAACTGCTGCAAATGTTTGCGAATTGAGTATATGACCTTAATTTTTGGCAGACAGATAATGAAATTATCCATGTGTAAACATTGCAGAGACATCAAAACTGATACATTGCTTTTTCTTATACTAGTACAGTACTCAGTACACTGTACAGGTACTCTCACGTACAGCAGTATATAATATTGGCCCCTATCTTGTGTTTATTTATTTCCCAGGGCTGTAATTATACATATTACTTTCCACTTAACTTGAAAATCTTACTCTGTAATTCCAATACTAGTAATCATTTTCTGCAAAAATTGTGATAACTTTATTCTTGTTAAGAGGATAATATGTTACTTACTGTAGTGTATATTCCTTACAAGTGCCAATACTCGAGTAATTCCTCTCTGCATTGCCATCGCAGTTTATACTGTATACTTGATGGGTACTTGCGATATTACAATAATATAAACGATCCCATTGTCAACCATACCTAAATTCTCTCAAGAATGCTGCCGTTTCAATGAAATGTCAAACTCATCTGAGAAATATCATCTTGAACAACAACAAACTCCCGTACTCACTCTCCCATAACGTAAAAATTAACTTAATGGGCACAAAGTCACTTCTCACTTATACTGACGCGAAACAATGATTTCTGAACACAAGAAATAAGCAAAAATTACCTGGGAGCAAGAGTAGGGAACTTCTGAGACCCAAAGGAACCTCGGCGTGAACTGTCACTTGTGAAGTAACCCCGACCACAAATATTATTCAGCCTTCTTCAACAAAACCACTTGTACGTGTACGGTCACGTGACAAGAGTTTACATAGCCCGTCTCAAATTTACCGCTATTTGGTCATAAATTAAACAACAAAGGTTAATTGTGCAAGTTTTGGAAGGCTCATTAATACTAGAGGTTAAAACTGTGCCGCGAAATGGCGCTGTTTAATCAGTTTCAGCAATGCTGCCTCGAGGAAAGACTTCCTGATACGCATGCGCACAAGAGAGTTTTAGCATGGTGAATGCTCGAAAGTGAATTTACTTCACAGTTTTGCTGCATTTACGCACAATCGGCAAGGTAAATTTCAATCAATTTATTGCAACTACGAACATTTAGTATGCATTAAAAATTGGACATGCTAGATTGTCAAGTTATTACCGAGTAGTCGTGAAATTTTGCAGTTTTATTTCAATGTTTACAAAATTTGTCGGTCGGCCTATTTTATGTATTTACATGGCAAAAGCGTATTTACTGAGCTAATGAAGTTACCCGCACAATCAAGGCAACACGACTCAGTGAACAGTAGAGAGTGTCATATCAGGGTTTAATAGATTCGCACATTTTAATGGATAGGTCTTTGGACGTTTTAATATATATGCACATGCATTCTGCGTGAAATCGCACACAGATTTCGAATAATCAATATAGACAAGTACCTAACTTCGTACAAATTAGCATGAAGTTACATGCCTTAGCATCCCACGGTCTCTGATATGAATGTACATTTTGCGTTAAGACATTGAAACTCCGTGCCATGTTTGTGTGTGTGTGTGAGAGAGAGAGAGAGAGAGGGGGAAGAAGAAGGCCCAAATGACGATTTTAAAGAAGAAAAGATGTTACAAATTGTATTCATATATTCCAGTGATGGGGAAGAAGAACAAGGGAGGTGTGGTGGAGGCCATTAAGTGTGATATCTGCTGCATTGTGCTGAACTCCGACCAGCAAGCACAGCAGCACTTCAGTGGCAAGACACACATGAAGAAAGAGAAGGCCAGGAAGGAAGGTATAGACACACACACACACACACACACACACACTCTCATGCATGCATGCATGCACACACACACACACACACACTCACACACACAAAGTGTTCTATGCAAGATTTTCCCCACCATTAGTACATCTGTCAGCTATTCACTGCCAGTAAGACCATTCCTACTACAATGTCATTCTCTTGAATGAAAGATAAAATTTAAATGTCAGTTCCTTAAAAAAAACATGAGTAGATTTCACCTGATAGATATTGACATTTTGCTGCTTTTATGCAACTAATTTTCTCAGTATTGTCATTAATATGTCTGTCCGTTTAAAAGCTTTGCTGTCTTGTGTATATCTAGGTGGTGAAACCATGGCGTCTCCTCTGACCAATCCACTGGTTGCAGCCAAGGTCAGCACTCCCGATTTTGTTCCCGAAATCATCAAAGTTGACCAACCACCAAATCCTTTTGCCGTTTTGCCGAAAGATGCGCCAGAGGACCCAACAAAGAAGCTAGACCCCGTGGCGCAGGCTGTCTTCGACAACATGCGAGGAAAGCTGCCGACCAAGAGAAAAGTGATCGAGATTCCGTGTGCTGTGTGTGCCATTGTGTTTAATTCGGAGGACCAGGCGGATGTTCATTTCAAGAGTCAAAAACATGCCAAAAAATTACAGACTATTGAACTTCTTAATAAGCAGAAGATGGTGTCAGGTTGGTGAAGGGGCTTGGAGCTCCTGTAGAGAAAAGTTTTAAAAGCTGGCCAAAGTGTTTTAGCACATGGAAGAAATTGTCATATAGGGGTGTTATATTTGCATATCAGATACATGTAAAGATGAAAGTTTTCTGGATTTGTCTTTAAAGCAAGATAAATGGATGTTGTTATTTATGATCTTTTGCCTCTCCCACCTCTCCCACCTTGATCTCCCATTTACAGCTGTGCCCATATGATGTTTTTTTTTATAATTTAGTAAAAGGTTCACTTTCATCTTTTTGTGTAAGAGGAACAGTGTTTGAATGAGATGGAAAATTGAAAAAAAAACTTTAAAAATGTTTTAACACTTGGAAGCAATTGTTATATGAGATATAATATTTTTAGCATTATTGTAATATTACTACAATCCTGCCATCAAACTTGTACTGGTACTGTTTTTACAAAAAAAAAGAAAAAAAAAAAAAAACACCAAACCCACCATTACAGTAACTATATGGCAGTGCTAAATTGATATCTCCTCAAATATTGAGTGGTTAATATCTGTTTCTATGCTTCTAGTTTGGATAAAGAGGGAGCAATCATTGGGAGTGCTTATATTAATTTATTTAATAGATAAACTGCATGCACCATAGGACACTCATTTTGAATAATCTTCTGCTGTTCCCTTCCAGATACCAGTAGTAATGGTGAGGCTACAACCAATGGTGGAAAGACAGAGGATGGCATGGTGAAGATGCCTGGTAATCAGTTCCGGTGCTCTTTCTGCAATGTCAGTCTCAATTCTGTGCATCAGCTGGAGATGCATAGGGCAGGTAAAATAGAGACATGGGCTTTTCCACAGAAAGGTGGAATTCTGTGTTTTTTAATTCACTTCTAATGGTTCCTGAGATTTGTCAAGGTTAGGTATTGGGTCCCGTGATAAATGTTCAGAGTTTTTTTTTTAACCTAGGCTCATGTGTGAAAATAAGGATTAACAATCCACGGTGAAAGGGAGGTTATTTTCTCTGAAAACTTTTTTCTTTTTTCAGGTCAGAAACACAAAAACAAACTGAAGCTTGCTCAACAGCAGCAAAATGGAGGTCCCCCTGCCAAAAGGAAACCCCCTTCAAAATTTGGCAGCAATAATTTTAACAGGCCAATGAATTCAAATCCATCCTTTAACAGTGGTCCATACAATGGCAATGGAAATCAAGGAGAAAACCAAGGTGATTATTTCCAGTTTTGTTGTTGTGAAGTTTGAAGGTGATTTATGCGTTGTTACATGAGATGGGTGCTGCCAAGTTTTCAAAATTCTTTTCATGAGTGTACTTTACTCATTTAATTTCACTTGAGAGAGAGAGAGAGAGAGAGAGAGAGAGATAGAGAGGAACTTTTAAAAACTGGCTTAAAACTTTATGGAGAGAGATTTAATTAGAATTTGGAGATGGTCAGACAGACAGTGAGACAGTTTGGTTCTCTGTCAGTGAACAAAACCTTGTCTACTCACTTCAACTATGTCTACTGACAGACATTTTTTCTCAGAGTAGAAATAGATAACAAAATGTATGTATATATATTGCCCCAACTTGATGTCTAATAATATCCACAGGTTATATATAAGCATATAAATATTATATAAATATATATCATATCAGTCATTCCAAATTTCAGGTGAAGACCATCCAGAAGACCAGTACTAGTACTGCAAACAAGGTTGACCTTAATATAAGCAAATAAACATAATTCATATCAGTCATTTTATATTGTAGGTGAATACAGCCATCCACAAGATCAGTACTAGTAGTAGTACTGCAACCAAGGTTGACCTAGATATAAGCATATAAACATAAATTATATCAGTCATACTCCATTACAGGTGAATACAGCCATCCAGAAGACCAGTACTACAAGCAGGGTCCTCCCACCCACCCTGCCTGGCTACCCTCTGGGAACCAGTTTCAGTGCCGTGTCTGCAGCATATTCTTCCCTGGCCCAAACCAGCTGTACCAAGTGAGGGTCTTTTGTTGTTTTTTGGGTTGATTTTTGTTTTCATTGGCTATGAGTCAGTAATTATTCATTTCTTTATTGAAATTCTTCGTTTTAATTATTTTTTATTTCATTTGTTCAGTGATTTAAATATGAATTTTGAACAGAGGGTGGAGTGGTTACGAAAAGTTGTGAATCAGGTATGGAAATACTTCACCAACTGTTCGTCTTTATAAAAAAAATCAATCAAACAATTTTTCTTTTTTCAGCACATCTCATCCCCTGAGCATGCAGAAAAGCAGGCCCTTTTAATGAATGCTCCCCAAAGTTGACCATGCACAAGATAATGGAAGCTCCCCATGGTTAAAAAAAACCTCGTTGTGAATGATGTAGCTTTGAGAGATTTTTAAAAGAATAAAGTTGCCAAGTGAAATAAGGAGCAAAATGGACAGGAAATAACCCAAGCACAAGTTAAATGCATGCACAAAGAAAGGAAAATTTGGTATGAAGCATGGATTCAAGACTTGGTTTTTGAGAAGAAAAAGGGATTTGAAAAATGTTTTTGCAAGGAAGCACCACAAAAAGACAGGAGAAATAATTTTCATTGATCGTGTTTTTGACCTCTCCTGTGATGGGAATGTCTCCCAGTCTCACCCAACACATTCTGTTTGTCTCAACCAAGAGATTTTCCAAGTCTCAACTACCACATTAGAAGTAAGGACGCAGGAGCATTTACTCATCATAAGAAGTGCAAGATTTTGAATCAAACGTGTTTGATGAGACAATTTGCTACTTGCACAGTAACATGATATGTAGTCTTGTTCAGCAGTGGGCAACTATTCCTGTTGAAGTTCAAAACAATCCACTGTAAATATATTTGCAGCTTCTTTTTTTCATTTCTGCTGTCATGTTTTATTTTGCACATGACTTAAATATATGTACATAATTGTCAGATTCATTCATGGAAGCAGAATACCCTTTTAGCTGATTCAGAAGAAAACATTTGCTGAGAGGGAGACAGAGATCCCAACACAACTGTTTTCCTCTTGTGATGGACATCTCATTCAACAGCACTCCAGAGGCTAACAAAGAACACACAGAAGGAGTATAGAGTTTGAAAAAGGGATGAAAGCAATATTTACAATTGTATGAAAAAGAAAATGAAAGAGAGGATGACAGATGTGATGTCATTGCAAACTTAAGATGTCAGCTTGATATCAGAATGTATATGTGAGTATTATGAAATATTAGCTTTTGACAAGAGAACATATGCTACCAATTAATTGCAGATGTTTAAACGCACAGTATGCCTTAACTGAAGCAGTTTCTGTAAAGGAGGAAAATTCGGGTGATAAATGGTGGTCTTATTATTATTTTTTTTTAAGAAGACAGGAGGATGAAAAGAGTCGCACAATATTTTATGGTAGCTCACATCTGGATGGATACAGGATTTAAAAAACATAGGATGATTTTTTTTCCAAAGATAAGAAACAGAAAGGTGATTTTTTTTTTTTTTTAGCTTTGCGTCTAGATGTGCACTGGGATATTTAGTTAATCACTGACAAGTTGTATTATTTTTACTGAGTAAGATACGATGTATTGGCAAGCTGATCATCAAATCAAACTAAATGGCACACCTAACACACTGCCTTGTGCCCCTTATATTGCTGTGTTAAGTGATGTGAGTGTGTGGATGGTGTAAAAGGCACTGAAACACGCACACATACATTTACACCACATTGCCAACCTAAAAGTAATCACAAGTGCACAACATGGAAGACCCTTAAACACCCACGCACACATACATTTACAACATGCAGCCAATCAAAAATAATCACAGATGCATGATATGGAAGGCTCTGAAATATGCACACATACATTTACATCATGCAGCCAATCAAAAAAAAAAATAATGATAATAATCAAAAATACATACATAGGAGCAAATGACATCCATCAGTTTGATTTGTGATACGGTGATGAGAATCCTGAACGCAAATTAGGGTAAAATATTTTATTCTATGTCCACTGGCTATGCTGTAAATAATGTTGTAATCAAAAGCATCCACAACTTAAAAAACAAAAGGAAAGCGCAGTCCTAATTCCAAAGAATATGCATAAACATATAGGACTGAAAAACAATTATATAGATTCAGAGCTGTTCAGAAAATAGTGTTGGAACTAGAGTCCAAATTTCAAAACTGGCACTGGTGCCCTAGACAGATAACTTTGTATGTATAAAGGCTATAAAAATGCTGTAATCAAAATTGTATGTATCTCGAAGGACAGATACCGGTGAAATATATACTAAGGGCATATGCTGCTACTAGATAGCAGAATACATCTTAAGGGCATTCTGGGCTATTTTTTGAATGTTGTTTTGTTGCCTAATGAACTATGGCCAGTAGTGGTAGAAGTGTCAGTAGGTGTGTGTGTGTGTGGGGGGGGGGGGGGGGGTTACCCTGGATTTCAGAGATTCCTGGAAACTAACCACCAGTATTAGTATGCCTGTACTGTTTCCAGTAACTGGGTTTAACATATTGGCACTTCATATTGTCCATATTCCTCTAAAGTTTGTTTTTCTTATTTCCCTTTGCCAGGTCACAGGTCACAAACAGATTGGAATACTTACATGATCTTGCAAAATTCCTGATCATCATATAACTATTTTTCTGGTATTTAAAGTAAAAATATTAGTTTGTTCTTTAATTTGTCCTTGTATATTTTACTTTCAACATGAAACATGCTATTAATTCCACCAAGTTTGTTTCTGTCTGTGTTGGTTCATTAGATAACAACCAAACCATGCTATGGACAGATTTTGATTAAAAAAATCTTCAGAATAGGTCAAAGACTGGATTATCTTAGAATTTATTAGATTTTGGTGGTAATCCATTGATTGATGAATTAATATAATAATTTAACATATGAATTGATCTACATTGGGGGGGGGGGGGGGGGGGGGGATGGGGCTGTGCCCACTGATGCTTTTCTAGTTAGTTTGCTATGTAAAACAATTGCTTAGATGTCCTGTGTCACATGATTGTACTTTGGGAGAGTTCAGGATGGAAGCTTTTAAGATTTTTTTTCCTCGTGAGTCGTGAAAGTTTGAGTAGTTGCTAAATTGATCATAAATGTATCAATTCTTAAAAGTCAGGAAAATTTGTGGATTTAAAGTTTGGGGGGGGGGAGTTTTTTTTTAGATTTGGTGGATAATGTATGAATGTTTAAATGCTGGATGAGGTGGATGTTGAGAAACAGAAAAATTTGCAGAATTTTTTTTTTCATTTTCTGTTCCCAACACAAGATTATTGATGTGCTATATTGTTACTGTAATCAAGACCTTGAGGAGATGAGATTTATAATGTCATTTGTTTATAAGGTTGGATTATTAGCGCTTCTTTGATATCCATATTCAGTCAGAAATGGGAGATGTAGCAATGGCCTGAAGGTTCTATAGTTTTAAATTAATGCATAAATAAATGTAAAGTGTATTGGCAATAAAAGTGAAGTTCATCAGAGGCAGGGATGTACATTTTTTTGGACCAGTGAACCTTCAGACTATTGAGATGCCCCCGGAAAAGCATGATGTCATTTGGAACATCATGATTGCTTCGTTTTATTTTGCACATGTATAATTTGTCAATGTTATATCCAATTACTTGCTTGTCTTTTTCCTTCTTTTAACAAAAAGGCATTTATTGTATCTTGTTTACTCGACTTTGAAATCTTATACTAATTGGAAGGCCATACATTTTCTTAAGGACATTTTGAATACACAACCTGCAGTTAACCTTGTGCTTAATATGTTTTTAGGCTTTTTTGTGTTTTTTTTTAACCTTGATGTTTTTATGGTTCAAAATGGTATAATACTGTCAATTTTTGTGATAATTGAAGTGTAATTAATATGGCCATATCAATTAAATTTATGATATTCATCAAAGCGCACAATGAAGTACTGTTAAATGTACTAAAGGTATTAAAATGTTATCAAAATGTGGATTTCAGTTGTATCAATTTATGTGTCTATACCTATCCTCAAATAAAACTTATGAAAATTACTTAAATTTTTAAAAACATTTTTCTTTTTTCTAATATCTTACTTTACCATTAGATTCATCAGTTTTATTCAGTCACAGAATCACTTTAAACACGAAACCAAACAGCCTGTCAATAATTTGAATCAACTTCTTTCAGAATTACCAAAGAAACATTTTTTGCCAGAATGTTTGGGTAAAGTTATAAAATCATTTTGTTAGAATACAATGAATACATACAGTACACGACGTGTTTAACTACAACTATATATCCCATGTTATCAGTTCAATTCAAATTTCACAGTTAATATCAAAATCCGAGCTTCAGTTGTCTGTTTGTACATCTATCCTTGATAAAACTATCCTGGAAACTGCAAAAGGAAGACGAAAAGCAAATTGCTACATTGAAAACGACTTGAGGGCTCCTCACACATTCAAGACATAACTGGAAACTGCAGAGATAACGAACTGATTAAAGAAGTAAGTTTCCAGTTATCTCTGGATCACCAGGTGAATACTCTACGGTTGTCTGGAAGTTATTATGATTGTACCAAGTTTATCTGGAGAAAAAAACTTTAAACAGGAAATGCGACTTTCCCCCTGTTATTACATCTCTAATGTTTGGAGGTATAAATAGGTTTGCTCCCAAATCGAGGCGAAGGCCCGGATGATCAATGTTTTCATTCATCGGCGCGAAACACGGCAAATTTCAACTTAATAATTATCAATCAGCTGATTATCAGTCGATCAAATCGAAGCTTAGGACTCAGGGGCACACTTGGCGTACGAAACGGTGCGCTTATTGATCGAAGGAGGGGTTTTTAAGCGTGCGAAGGAGAGACCCCGTCATGGCCACGTCTTTTCTCGCAGCGAGCCACGATGCCTTGACGCCAGGCAGTGCGAAGCGTAAGAGGAGCAAGCCGGCGAAAAAGCAGGTCACGCAAACGGGGCCCTTGTTCAGCCCATCGGTGGACAGCGGGGTTACTCTTGGTGCGTATTTATTGTAGATCGAGTACTTTTAATGCTAAATACGGGATGGTTGGTGGTTTATTTAGTTATTTTCGAGAATTTTCTGGGAGACTGATCGCATTTAGGGGTTCGATCGAGGCCACCTGAGTCGGGGGGCTTCCAGTGTCTTTACGGTCGGGTTACCGTCGTTAGGTCGGTGCCCGACTGTGTTTACCGCCGTGGTGTTTATAAAACTGCTTTCAGCTTGTTGTTACTACGTTCTATTAGTGATTTTTAATTTCGCTTTGAATGAACATATCGCTGACGAGTTGTAGTGGGTAATTTACTCCACTGTCGAGTATTGTTGAGATACTATATTGTTAATGGTGAACGGCGTGAATGGGCATGAGTTGATAAAATTAAATTGTTTACTGTGTAATGCCTAACAAGTCGTTGTTGGTTGGCAATTGATAATACACTCCTGCAGCTGATTAGTTTATAAGATAGATCTACCTATATTTAATTTAAAGGTATATTAACAGGATTTAATTATAACCTTGTAACTATTTCCCAAAAATGTATGAGCCATTGAATAACATGCACAAAACTGATAAAATAGATAATATTGAGAATGGATAAAGGAAAAGACAATTTATTACGAAAGCAGTATTTGTATTTTTAGATGTAGGCTGGGTAATAAGCTTGAAATTATAAGAAAAAAAAAATAGAAAACTTATGCTATTTTTGAATTAGTTTTCATTGTCATAAAACTACATACACTAACAAGTACTGCCTTCAGCATAGATGAATCAAGAGAAATTCTAAACTGACTTAGAAAAGTGAAAACAATCAATCTGTCATTCCTTGTGTTAACTTGGTTTAAAATGGATGAGAGAAAAATTATTTTTCAGCTTGAATGATTTTAAGTGGAGTTGTCTCAAAGAGATAATAGTGTCATGTTATTGCAATCTGGTATTGATAACAGGAAAGATAGGCAAGATGTTTAAATGGAGATGAATATCAAAGTTTTCTAATGACAGACTCAGCTGTACCTGCATGTAATTGCTTTGAATTGTGTTATGAAACAGATGGTTACATTAGTTCATATAGATTCAGAATATCACAGATGAAAAAAGATAGTCAACTATATTCTTTTTTCATAGCTCTTGGGTCTCATTCCCGATAAAACTGTTGTTCCCTTATATCGATCAAACTCTGTGGAGGCTCATGCCTTCTCCTGATGTTGAGTAGAATACAGAAAAGCTAGTGATTATACAAGTAACTTGGAAAGAAGAGGAGGTTTGTTTATCTGTTAAACTGATTGCATTCAGCTAGCACCCCCAGGGAGTTGGATTGATCTGTGTTGAATGAATAGTTTTGTTGGGAATAAGCCCGTAGCCAGGCCATGTTGTACCTTTGAAAAGGATTAAGAACTGGATAACAGCTCTGCTTAACTTTAGTTTCAGCTCAAAGCGATTCGTCTCTGGGGTCTTCAGATGCAACAAAAAAGCATAAAAAGCAGAAAGACCTGGACTCTTCTGGTCTGGAGTCCCCTCTCAGTTCTCCTGAGGTGTCCAGGAAGTCTAAAAAGACAAAGTTGGCTTCTCCAATTCGGGGAGAGCTGAGCACTGACAGCACGGAGCCAGATTTAGAGACAAAGCCAGTCATCGGGGGGCAAGGAGAGTCAACAGGTATGTGAGTTAATTTGTTAACACCCCCCCCCCCCAAAAAAAATGTATTTTTTGTTGTTTTGCTTGTTTTTACAAAGCCAAATATGAAAAGGTATGGATGGGAGTTATGGATGCTGCATTCACAACCAGAGTTGATCCACAAACTTACAGATCTGTGGATAAATTATGGACGACCCACTTGAAAGTTTTTCGCATAATCCCTGCAGGGAAGCTGTTAGGGGACTATGTGGCAAGCCTTCAAGTAGGTCGGTCATATCTGATACATTTTTCAGGTTAAGTCAAAAAGGGCTAACTTAGAATGTGTAAGATTTTAGTTGGGATATCCAAATTGATTAATTAATTGATTTGTCTATTGATTAGTTATCTGTTTAAGTTCCTAGAATTCAGTCTTAATAAATGAATAAACATTAAATCAATGATTTGGCTCGTAATTAGGTATATGAATGAATTAATAGATAGACGGATAAATGAATAAAATGATTAATGAATAAATTAATTATCATTAAATTAACTACATTTCACTAACTTACAGAGCCACAGTGGACAGAAGAGCAAATGAACATGCTGATATCTAATATTGAACGCACGCTGCCCAAGAAAGATAACTCCAAGTATAGCACCCAGTTGGCCAAGGTCAGCTGGGACGACATGGTCATTGAAGGCAAAACTGCTGACCAGTGCAAGGCCAAATGGACGGAGATTATGACCAAGGTAAAAAGAAAGAAATAATTATAAGGAAAAGGATTCAAAGTGATAGGTCTTTATAAGATTGGTTTATATTGGTTTCATGAGATATTTTTTAAAATGTAAAATGGTTAAAAAATTTTTTCTCTCTAAAGCATTTTTTTTTTCTTTGTGAGTGTCAATATTATGCGGATGTAATTTAGATAACTTTAAAGTCAATAAGTACATTATCAAAAAGAATAATATATCAATCAATTTATGATAATTGAGTCACCGAAAACAATAATTAAAAAAAAAAAATGAAAAAGTAGTCATCACCTGCTCCAAAAATTTCCAGTTGATCTTGTAGCCCTTGTCACTCTTGTGTTTTTAAAAATATTTTTTAGATAAGAAAATTCCGCACTCTCACAGATTTAGTTGGAGATGCCAAGGAATGGGTAAAACACCCTTGGACTAATAACAACACCATAAAGGTAATGCTGATACAGACATTGCTCTTCTTTTTCTTCGCTTAAAATTTTAAAACCAATTTTTTTTTATCTTGTGCAGTTTTTCAACCAAACATTTTATGTTTTTTTATTCATTTGTGCATTTATTTGCTAAGATTATGGATTTCTCCGTGGTAGTAGTATTTCAGCACTCGTCTTTTGCCTATGATTTCTTCGTCATATACTTCTAGTAGTCCATTTTTTTGCCTTAAGCCACTGGACTATAGTCATTATCAGTATTCAGTTTTTTCTGACTATTGGTGGGTTTCTGACTTTTCTGGAGCCAAAAATATCATTTTTAAGATTGACACAGAGGGTTTGTCTGGACCCCATGCCATATATGTCAGACTTTAATATTATTATTTTCAGACTTTTTCACTAAATGTCAGTCTCATCAGTCCCTGCATCAGTTGTAGATTTTCAGACATGTAACCAAAATGTTTTTAATTAAATAAGCTGCTGGAGTTGATATAAAACAGTCAAGGTTTACATTACAGAAGAGACACCCAGACATGCCCAAGAAACCCCTGGGTCCCTTCTTCAGGTTTATGATGGCAAAAAGAAATAAATACACCAAGCAAAACCCAGGGATGTCCATCACTGAAGTGGCTAAACTGATTGGGGAAAAGTACAAGGAGCTCAACCCTAAGAAGAAAGTGAGTTGCAATTTTGTATTATATTTGAATTTATATTGAAAAAGTCATTTCATTTGGGAAGTTTTTCATGGCTGACAAATTTTTCAATTGAGGAAAAGTACAAGGAGCTCAACCCCAAGAAGAAGGTGTGTTACGATGTTGTTTTATATTCAGTTTAGAGTCAGCCTGGTGAAAAAGTCCTTCGATCTGGAAAATTTTTCATGGCTGCTGATTGAAAGTATGGCTGTCTTTTAAAAATTTCATCATGTGTTTTATTTCTCTATCAAGTTCATAGTTTAAGTTTTCTTAGCTGCTGTTTTTGAATGTTTTTCGTCATGTTTCTTATTCATTAATGATTGTAATAGTTAAAATTTTTATTTTTTGTTTGTTTGTTTTTTACAGGAGCAATATCACAAGATTTGGTTAAAGGAGCAAGAGGAATATAAAGAGGCGCTAGAAAAATTCAAGTAAGTTAGATACAGGTGCAGGTACTGGATATCTTCCATTCACTGGGCAGATAATGATTATGGAAAGAGGAACAACAAACAGAAAACAAAAATGAAAATAGATTTATGTAAATAAATAAAAAATAATGGCTTTTTAAGCTGTCTCCATTTGTTTGCTCTTCTCCTGAACATAAAGGCAAATTTGTCAAAAATGTCGTGACAAGAGGATGCTCTTTTAAACTTCAGCACATTCTGCTGCAGCATAGAATGCAGCATGAATTTTATAAAAGCAGATATTTTAAGTAATTTTTCTTTCTATTTTTCCAGACGGGACCACCCAGAGCTGTATGTTCAAGAGGAAGAGGAAAAACCGAAAACCCCAGCAGCTCAAAAGATCCCGAAAGACAGGAAACCCCGCCCACCTCAAAACGCCATGTTTCAGTTCGTACATCACAAGATGGATAAACATATGGCTAAACATCCAGATGTGAGTGTTGATTGGAGTACAGTCAGTGCTGTCCCTGCCCTTCTTCTCCCAGTTTCTAAATTCACAGGCCTTTACTTCAAATAGAGATGAATTACAGAGCTTTACATTGCTTAGTCTATCGTACCATGTGTGACTAAAGCCCTATTGCTTATATGAAATTGACTCGATTTGATGAAAGAAAACCAATCACTAATTTCTCTCAAGAATTTACTTACTTAGATTTACTAAAATTTGCCTAGCCTAATTTACATATCATATCATATCACAACTGCAGCAATGTCACACCTAACACATTGTGTTTCAGCTGTACAACTTGGTTGTGACATGTGCCAATGTGGTCTGTTGTGTCTCAACTAACACAGTGGTTCACATTTTTACTGCTGTGGCAGCACAACACAAATGTGGCATGTATCTCAACTAACACAATCATCATATTTCAGGATGACAAGAAGGAAGTAGCAGAATTATACAGGAAGAAGTACAAAGAAATGAAGGACAGCAAAAAGATGGTGTGGATTATGAAGGCTTTAGAAGACAAAGCCAGGTTTGATGTGAGTTTATTTTTGACCATTTCAAGCTATTTCTCATTTTTTATCTTAGGAATGTCATGTAGTAGTAATCTCCATGAAAAAAAACATAATTAGAGTGTGTCCACTAAAAAAATTAGATAATCAGCCAGTCTGAGGAAGCATTTAGGCTGTAAACACAATTTAAAAGGATTTCTGTTTTTTAACTTGCAGTGTCTATCTGTACATGATTTGAAGGCATCGCCTTTTCAACCTAAGGCCCACTTCTGTGGATGTGAATTGTTAGAAATTGCATATTTTGTATTGTTACAACTAAGTGTCACACAAACTTCATGCAGCATTCATTTCATTCACTGAAAAATTCACTGTTGCACTCTGTTGTTTTAGGAGGAGAATGCAGAGTATTGTAATCGACACCCAGAGTTCCAGCCTAAGGAAATCAAGTTCTTCATCACAAAAGATGAACAAAGGGTGAAGGACAGACAGGATGGGAAACCAGAAAAGCCACCTCCGTAAGTGTTTTTAAGAAAATGATTGTATTGTTATGCTACTCTCTGCTTGCCATTCTTCTGAGTATTTTTGGTAAGCATTAGTTATAGTCATTCTTGTATAGTGTATCTTATTATGGACTTATAGTCATTGTTGTTATTTGCATTTTATGATGGCGTTGTAATTATTCTTGCATTCTGTATTTTATGATGGAGTTGCAGTCATTCTTGCATTCAGTATTTTAATGGAGTTGTCATTCTTGCATTCTGAATTATATAATGGAATAGTAGTCATTCTTGTATTCTGTTTTTCATAATGTAGTAGTAGTGGTAGTCATTCTTGTATACTGTATTTTACTATGGTCTTGTATTCATTTTGTAAACTGTATTTTATCATAGTAATGGCTACTCCCTGTACACTGCTGAGACATTGAACATGCTGAGTGACTCGGACATTCCCAACATTCTCAAGATGGCCGAAGTGGCAAGAATGTGGAAAAATCTCTCGGAAGCAGAACGCCAGGGCTATGGCAAGAAGGCACAGGAGGTGAAGTTTTGAATTGTTGTTTATTGAAAGTTTTCATTTAAGGAACAAATTTTAAGACTGCCATTGGTGCAACTTACTTTGTGGGAGATAGGAGTGGGGTGTAGGTACACTTACTATGTGAAGTTACATCAATTTGCAAAATGAACTTTAGATACAAAATGACTTTCATTTGTTATAGGCTTTGGGGAATAAAAGTTTGCTCAAATAACAATAATAAAAATATATTCTGAACCCTTTGGCTTATAAACTGTACTGCTGCTGTGTTACAGGGAATGCAAGAGTACAGGTTGAAGTATGAAGCATACAAGGAAGGGCTGCCAGAGGAAGAAAGGCTGAAACTAGAGGAAGAAGAGAGACAGGGGGGAAAGAAAAAGAAAAAGTCCACCAGTCAAGTATGTTATTAAACAGTACACATTGCCTGATAGTAAAGATTATATTTTAGTATAAGAAAAAATTTGACATACATATATCTCATTTGAGATTAAATCAAGCACTCTGTAACTGATTAACACCAGGTGACTTTACATGTGACATGTAACACGTTAATTATGGATTTGGGGAGGAGGGGTCCTTAATGATTTGAAGGAGATAAAAAAGAAAAAAAGTATCATAAGAATTTATTTGCTATACATATTAATTATTTCTTTTTCAGGCTCACTCCCCAATGCCTCAGAGCAGACCCCAGAAGCCCATATCTGCCATGTTTATATTTATGAAAGAAAAGAAAGACCACTACAAGAAAAAGAACCCAGAAATGTCAGAGAAGGAATTGAACCAGCACATGATCAAGATGTATAATGAGCTGTCTGATCACAAAAAGGTAAAGAAGTAGTTACATTTACTGATAGGAATAGATAGTATTGTTGTGAGTTCTTGATTATTCATCTACATCAGCAACTGTACATAACCTCAAGTCTCCTGCACAGAGCAATTGTTTCCATGGGACATATGCCACTTGGTGCGGCAAGGGACTATAAACATCAGGGGCCAATCCAGGATTATTTGAAGGGGGGGTCCAGAATGACAGGCCGCAAATGCAAAGTCAACCATTGCCCCCTTGGTGTGGGGTTTGGGGCCTGCTCAAGGGCCCTGAAAAATTTTTTGGTGAGCAAACAGTGCCCTTTGGAACGGTTTAGAACTATGATTAAGCTAGTCAAAATTATAATATTAAGAGGAGAAAATTGGTGTGATGAGGAGAAAATTGGTGTGATATATTTTTTCAGAAACAGAAGGGGGGGGGGGTTTGACCCCCCTTCCCCCCCCCCCCCCCCCCCCTCCCTCTAAATCCACCACTGCACATACACTACCTTCAATACACAATTACTACATTTTTTAAAAGAAATGATATAAACAACTTTGTGTGAAAGGTGTGGGGGATTGTCTCATGCCTTAGTTTATTTCCTTCTCATCAAAATATCATGGGTGGGACCCTGGGGGGGGGGGGGGGTTGTATTTTAACAGCACCCATTGATGAAAGCCATGAGATAATCTACTGTGGATTTTCAATGCCAAGTCCAGAAAGCACCATGCATTAGCTCATGCTGTGTCAGAGTGTGTTGACTTCATACTGAGTATTGTCTAACTGGTATGGCAGCCATATGCTCAAGAAATTTGCCTTTATTTTCAGGAAAAGTACAAACAAATGGAGGCTGCTCACAAAGCCGAAGCTCAGACTAAAGTTACGGACTTCATGTAAGTAGGGAAAGTTGGAAGACGGCTCTTCTTATGGATGTAAAACAAGAAAAATAATTTAGTGTAAATTTTTAAAGACTGGAAATTTTAATCTGTTTATTTGGGATAAAAACATAGTGTTTTTAGTAAATTTGCAGCTGCTTTGTGAATGAACATTACAAAAAAAAATTAAATAGAAAAAATTCAAGGTATAACATAAATAAATGTGCACCAGTCACTTTTATCTCTCTATTTCATATTTCTAATAGAAAAAAGAATGACGCCAGCATTCCTAAAACTTTCCCCGGTGAACCCAAGAGACCGCCTGGGTAAGTGTGCCAGTGGTTAAGAGAGAGTAAAGGGCATCTAAGAAGAAACTGAATTTTAGCAGTCTTCCTTGTTCCTTTCTTGGAAAGATAATTACTTAAAATTTTTACTGTGTAAAGTGTCGCATTGAATATTTTTTTTATAAATGTTAAATTCTTTAAGTTATAACTTAAATGAATTATTTTTTTATTTTTCAGTTCATGGTAATTACTTAACCCAGTTTTAATAATATATTTATTAATACAGGAGTGGCTACCAGCTCTTCTCGACAGACCTCTTACTCAACGAACTAAGTCATATTCCGAGCAAAGACCGCATGCAAGAAATCAGTAAAAGATGGCGGCAGCTGGATGAGGCGAAGAAAGAAGAGTACAAGAAAAAGCGTAATCAGCTTGTCAAGAGATATGAGAAAGAAGTGGAGAAATTCAAGAATGTTAGTTCAGATTTTTTTGTATTCAAACTGACTCTGGTTTTATCTTTCTTTGTTTGAAGATTATCAGTCTCTTGGCATGGACTTATCTTAGTATGGCTTTTTTTTCTGGTGAGATATGAGTCTGCTAATAAAGTATATATAGATACTCATGAAGTCATCACAACGTAATAGGAAATGTACCACGAGGTCACCGGTGGAATGCAATTTAGTAATTGTATATTTGCCTGTAATGGGAAAAAATTGATTTCTATTTCGGGGTCATGTTTCAGAAATTATCTCCTGAAGATAGACAAAAATATGAAGATTACTTAAATGCTAAAAAAGGAAAGACACCAGTGAAGAAAAAGGTGAGAGTTAAAACAGATTTTCTTTCTATTTTTGTAAAACTTCACTGTGAGAAAAATAAAGCTGTTCAACTGTCGCCCATCAGTTTTATTTCAGTAACTTAAGTCTGTGTGGGAATGTCAGAAGGCAACATTGGGAAATATAACTAACTTTAAATAAACATAAATGTTAGTGCATGAAATAATTACTATGATGCTAATAATAGTTATAAACAGTTCTGAAATATGAGAGGACAACCTTTGATGTTAACTAAGCCAGATTACGTCTGATCCTATTTGTAATGACTAACACGTGTAATATGAATTTCACGATTCTTCAATACCTGTATGAATTGTATATATAGCCTCCAAAACTGTTGTGATTTTTAGCAGGCACCAGCTGCTGCAGCGCCATCTACACCAGAGGAATCTGGGTCTGAGTCTGAGTCATCTTCTTCTGAAAGTGAAAGTGAAAGTGACTCTGATGATGATGACGAGGAGGAAGAGACGGCAGCAGCAGTGCAGACCAATGGGCCATCAGCTCCAACAGCCAACACAAAACAGGTGGGTTTGGAAACAAGTTAGTCTTTCGGGGATGCACTTTTTAAGGATATTATGTAAGGGTTACATTATACAATCCAACTCATTTTGGTAGCAAGAAAAAAGTAGTATTTTAATAGCTTTATGATTTCAAGGGATTTTGTCATTGGCCAGTTACTTTAATAAAGGGATGTTTTAGTATAATTCTTTACATACCTTAATAAAGATAAATGTAAAATATTATAAAGATAATATTAATAATAATAAAAAAGATAATAAATTATGGTATTGAAATTAAATGTTACAGTAATAAAGATAATAGTGAGAGTAGAACGGTAAAAAATTCTCTTAGATTAAGATTGCTAATTTACATGGTTTATCTTCATATTGCAGGTTTCCAAAGCAGCGATGAGCAGCAGTAGCAGCAGTGACAGTAGCTCAGAGAATACCTCGGACGAGTCCAGTAGTAGTGGCTCCGACTCCAGCACTGATGATGACTAAAGGACAACTACAGTTAGCAGAAATGGAATTATCTGATTTTTCTCTCTCTACTTCTTCTTGTAGATTTCCTGTGGAAAGGAAAGTTGTGAAGGTTTTCTCTGACTTTTGCGCAGATGTTGACTTAGCAGCAGCTGTATTTAACAGGGACAGGATTTCACATTTTCTATCTTCTTCTTCTTCTAAAGATTTTTTTTGCTTTTTATTATATGGAAGTGAAATTTATGGAAGTCTTTATCCACTTCCTGCTTAGATAAAGACTAATATTCAACTTCACTCTGTGGGGACACGATTTTCTGAGATTCTCTCTCTTCTTCTAGAAGACTTTCAGCTTTTTGTGTGGAAACAGATGCATAACTTTTAATTTTCCTCACAGTAAGGTGCTCCTCCCAGCACACATTAAGACCAAGAACTGACTACAGTTAGGAGAGACAGAATTTTTTATAAAAAAACCCTTTCACAGGATGCCCTGCTTTTTTATGTAGAAAAGAAAGGCATGAAAGTTACTCTGACTCCCGCAGAGGAGAACTACTACAGATAGGACTCTTTTGGATGATTTTCTGCTTTTTTCTGTGGAAAAAAAGTTATGAGTTACTAAATAATAAGAAGAGATGAATAATAAGTGCTGACCTGAAGTCAGAGGGTGATAAAGAGCATGTGAAGTAACATTTATTATGTGAAATAAAGACTCTGACTCTAGCACAAAGAAAATTGGAATTCAGATGTATTGGTAGTTAAGACACATGTGTACAGCAAATATGAAAGTGGAGATCAAAAAATGTTTTGTGAATGAATATAACAGTGACAGAAAAAAAACATGATTACATTTGACAGTGGAAGTTGCAATAATGACTGTTCTTGTAGCAAATGTACAACAGTAGCAGTGACATAGTGGTAGTAAATGTAGGTGTAACAGCAATACAGGCTTTGGCTTTATGTAAGCTGTATAAGTTACAGTGGTAGCAGTAACAAAAATCACAGACTCTGAAAACTGCTGTTTCAAAACGAGCATTAAAGTGCAAAGTAGTGGCAGTGCACGCAAGAAGTAGTTTCGGGGGGGGGGGGGGGGGGGGGGATGCTCCCAGGAAATTAACTTGAGGTAAAAAAACTTTCTTTATCAGTTTTAAGGAGGTAAAACATTGTATATTTTTGGCAGTGATAGCAGTGGTGGTTGCACCTGTCCTTTATATAGAGCTAGATACAGTGACAGTAAAGAATGCCTTTTTTTAATTGAAAAAATAGCAGTGGTAAGATTTGGGGTGTAAAAGGGGGTATTCTAAATATCAGCAACGTCCCTAATTACAGTTTCTTATAGCAGTGGATATAGATATGAGTTAAAGGATTACGAATGGAATGGCTTTTATAGAAATATTGTAATTGATATGAAGAGAGCAGTGGCTTTCCTTTCTGACATCAATTTTTGCTTCAAGAGGAAGGTTTTTAATGCTGAAATTTTAGTGCATACTGGATACCAGTTTAAAGCACTGTTTGGTTTTTATGATGATAGGGTACATGGTATTTCTAGATAGCATCTAGTTTGAGAAAAGGTACTTGTATAGTGTAACAGGGTGTATTTATTTTTTTTTTTTTCTAAAAATCTTGAACAATACAGTCTTACTTTATGCTGATTCAGTAAAGAAGTATGTATGGTACAACATATATTATAGGTATATAGGAGACTATTAACCACGTATCATGTGCTCTAGATTGATATGTAGTTAAAATATTATATTGTGACTGTGACTTTGGATATAGTGTGTTGAAAGTGACAAAAAACTGTAGAATTTCAATTTTCTTTTTTTAATCATTTTTTTAAATCAGTTTTTTTTTTCTTCAATTATGGTGCTGATGTCAGTAAAGTTTGTTGTAGAGAGAGAGAGATTCAGTTAGTGAACACTCAGCTGGTGGTACCTACCCAGGTGGGGGTGGTACCTCTCTGATCCACTTGACTCTGTTCAGAAGCAGGTTGATCTCCAGATTAAGTTTTCCATAGATCAAATATGGCGCAACCCACTTAAAAGTATGCCGATATTTAATTGCTCAGCTCCTGCAGGGCTAGGGCATTTCGGAGGTGGGGAATCCATTGCATCATTGTTAGGGGATTATGCAGCATGCTTTCAAGTGGGCACCATATTGGATCCACGGATCAGTAAGTCTATGGATCAACTTGGTTCTGAACAGGCCCTTAGTTTAGCTGGTGTTGGTAACTGGGGGTTTTTGATTGCAAAATAGTATCAGTGAAAAGCACATTTACATTCCCCTTGAAACTGATTAACTTAACAGTGTCCTTAGACTCAATGCTTGCAATATCCAGTGCAGGAAAGAGGGGGTGGAATCGGACACATTAAACTCCCTTTAGCTTCTGTAGGTACCCCTGTCTTTATCCTCTAAAAAGAAGTGGAACTAGAAAAAACAAGTTATTTTTCTCTTTTGTTCTCAACAAGTCATAGTTAATTGTCTTCATCTGCTGTTTTTAATTTTCTCTGAAAAAAGAAGCTTTTTTGTCTTGCCCCCCCCCCCCCTCCCCCTTGCTCCATCCTAAGCAAAATCATTGTTCTGGATAAGATCCATCCACTTCACTGGGTACTGCAAGCAGCACAGAGACTAGATTGGCACTATAGTGTGACCTAAACGTACTCACAAGGTTTGTGAAGATGGTTATAGGTTGGGTTGCTACAGCATAACTGGAATTTAGTTTTGATGTTTTTTTTTTTTTTTTTTGTTTCCCGTAGTTTACACAGTGGTATGTCATATATGCCATCTTATGCAAGTAATTTACTTAATCAAAATAATAATAAAAAATAATAATAGGTCACTTCCCTTAGGTTAATTTTTGCTTGCAAGGCAGAAAAAAGTTATGGCTACAAATAGTAAAAAGTACTACTGGGCCATGTATTCTGATAAAGTTGGAAGTCACGTTTTCAGTGAAATGTATATGGAGTTCTCTGTAATAATTATTACTAGTTAGAACAATGCTGTACATTCGTTTCAACTGGATACAGCATGACGAGAGCATACCATCGCTTCTGAGTAGAGCACGAAAAATGTCCAGCATATAATCTTTCGCATTAATAAGCATTATATACTGCTTTGTAGAATATATGTTATTGAGATTTTATCATTAAATATTTACTTCATAAAGTCCTACCGGTTATTTTGTTTTATTGTCACTTGGCATGATGCCCTTTCATTACATTTATTTACAATATTTTTTAACCCATTTGACAGTCTTGTTAATGACATAATTCTGACACTTGGGACGGGAAATTTTGATCCAGTTACGTGACTATTTAGTCCAGCAGTTTTCACTTAAGTTAAAGGCTTTTTATGTACAGACACAGATGTGTCTGAACATATAGCCATCATCTGCGTCTGTCGTCGCCATCGTCGCCGTCGCCGTGCACTTTTACCGATAACACGATAAGTGGAAAACTGTTTTTTCTTTTGGCTTGAAACTTACAGAACTGATGAATATTCATATTATGCAGGTCAAGTTCAAAAATCAGCATGATCGGGTCATTTTTAGGGTAGTTANAAGTAATTTACTTAATCAAAATAATATTAAAAAATAATAATAGGTCACTTCCCTTAAGTTAATTTTTGCTTGCAAGGCAGAAAAAAGTTATGGCTACAAATAGTAAAAAGTACTACTGGGCCATGTATTCTGATAAAGTTGGAAGTCACGTTTTCAGTGAAATGTATATGGAGTTCTCTGTAATAATTATTACTAGTTAGAACAATGCTGTACATTCGTTTCAACTGGATACAGCATGACGAGAGCATACCATCGCTTCTGAGTAGAGCACGAAAAATGTCCAGCATATAATCTTTCGCATTAATAAGCATTATATACTGCTTTGTAGAATATATGTTATTGAGATTTTATCATTAAATATTTACTTCATAAAGTCCAACCTGTTATTTTGTTTTATTGTCACTTGGCATGATGCCCTTTCATTACATTTATTTACAATATTTTTTAACCCATTTGACAGTCTTGTTAATGACATAATTCTGACACTTGGGAAGGGAAATTTTGATCCAGTTACGTGACTATTTAGTCCAGCAGTTTTCACTTAAGTTAAAGGCTTTTTATGTACAGACACAGATGTGTCTGAACATATAGCCATCATCTGCGTCTGTCGTCGCCGTCGCCGCCGTCGCCGTGCACTTTTACTGATAACACGATAAGTGGAAAACTGTTTTTTCTTTTGGCTTGAAACTTACAGAACTGATGAATATTCATATTATGCAGGTCAAGTTCAAAAATCAGCATGATCGGGTCATTTTTAGGGTAGTTATGCTGTTTTTTCACTTTTTTCAGCATATATGCAGCACCGATAANTTTTTTTTTTTTTTGAGAACGGACGAAAATCGGTGCGCGCGCAGGATGTCATCCATAAAAATAAAAAAGTGTGGCCTTATTTTGCTTGAAATGGGGTCACATACCAGTAATTTTCTCTATTCATGATATAAATTTTTAATATTTCAGATGCAGATGCTGGTAGATGTGAATTGAAACAGTATATACTGGACTTGCAACCAAAGATAATTATAGGAAAGTCAGGGCTTGAAAATGATACCAGTCGATATTAAAAGTAGTGTTTTATTCATGGGTTCAGACTTATTGCCTGTTTGTTTTTGGTTCATATGCTACAACCAGTATGTAGCAAGCCATGTATAATACAGATCAAAACTTGCTTTAATTTGTAAAACTGGCAAATTTGATTGTGTATAACCATCCTGGGGCCGGTTTCACAAAGCAGTAGTTAGTTAGAACAACTAACTACTGAACTACCTCGCTAACGAGCAAACTTAGCGATTTTCGTGGGGTGTTTCATGAAGCAGTCGTTAACTCATCGCTAAGTTCAGTCGTAAAGTTCGTAGAGTTAGTGACTGGTCTGACCAGTCGTTAAATATCCAAGGCAACAACAAGACAATAACAATCGAGAGAACTAGTGACTGCTTCATGAAACGGCACTATAACTAGCGAAAGGCTAACTACCGATCGCTAACTAACTACTGCTTTGTGAAACCGGCCCCTGAACCAAAGTTTTGAATTTTTCAAAATGCTGAATTGACAGCTAAATGAGTAGTATGTATGCAGAAATATAGAAGTTGTAAATCCACGTTAGCATTGTTTTCACTAAAGCTGATATTATTTGAGTTGTCAAAGAGAAAGTAAAGAAGTTCTGATTTTCTTAATATATTTGATTATTAATAATATCTACTCCTGGAGGAGTAGAACTTCACATTTCGTGCCAACCGAAAATTCACTGCTCTGACTTTTTTAATATGTTCTAAATACTTTTTTAAAATTCACTGCACAATTAGTTTTTGTGGAATTTTTACTGAGCTATAATATTAGTGTTTATTGGTTCAGTATGTTGAAGCCTCAGTGTTAAAAAGTATACAGGCATAGACTGGAGAAAAAAGGCTCAGACTTTTTTAAGATGTTATATTTTGATATATTATTAAATATATTATTATTTATTTTTATGTTAAAACAAAGTACCACTATATCATTAAAACACATGTTAAATCAGTATAATTTCTGTACAAAGAGACAATTACTTTAAACCTTTAAGCAAAAGGACAAGAAATAGAGGAGTTAACGTATTTATTTACAGTTGTATAGATCTGTTTTTTTTATTTATTTAAAATTATTATTAATTTTGTTTATGTATTCATTATTACATTATTATTATTATTATTAGGAAAATTCTTCGTATTATGTGGCAAATTTCCCTCCAAAATGAAGAGTTGTTACTTTTTTAAAAGAACACCTTTTCAACAACAAGTGCATTTTTTTTTTTTTTTTTTTGGGGGGGGGGGGGGGGGCAGCCCCCCCCCCCCCCGACAGCCCCCTAAATCCGCCACTGCCTGTTCTACTAGACATATAAACGTACAATATAATATAATTAACATGTATATAGAACCTGTTTAGAGGGTCCCGTTGGTAGTGATCACAGTCCACGAGAAATAAAATCATCAATTCACAATTAACAGTTAAAACGCCAGTCATATCTCAGTAAATAAAACT